AATGTTAAAAAAATAATAACCACAGAGACAACCAAACTCTGATCAATTTCAATTGTCTCCAAGTGAAAGTAATTGACATGAAAGACAACAGACTCTGGTCAATTACAATCACCAATGTTACTTTCACATTAGTAACTTTCACTTGCCCAGAGAAAACCAAACTCTGGTCAGTTACAATGGTCAATGTTCCTTTCTCCTCCATTATTTTCACTTGTCTACAAACAACCAAACCCTGGGTAATTTACTACAGATACTGTTAAAGGAGCCATCTTTCCTTTCTGTTAACAACTGATTTAACTTTTCTTCCCAATCTGATGAATGCAGTTTCTGTTTTAGTAGGAGCCTTTGTTTGAGTATACAATGGAAAGTCCAAACCAAAACGTCACAATGAATTTTTTCAAAAAGGTTATTGAATTGCAGCAACACAGCTAGTGTTAGAACCAGACATGAAAGGGAGTTAAGATGACCAAGCTTGTTGAAATACAATTATTCAGAAGATATAAAGAGTACGCCCCTGTGATTTCCCTCTGTATCTTATAATCTTATCAAGAGTTAACCAAGGCTTGGGAAGTTAACTCAAGGTCACAAAGCTAGTGAGTTCAGGGGCAGGATGTGAACCCAGGTCTGACTCCAATTCCAGCATGCATGATGCCAGTTGCCAAAGAAAAGTAACAGAAGTGTAACTATGGGCTGCAAGTGACAATTTTGTGGAGTAAAATTTCTGGGCTCCACACTCTTGCTTAAGCAACAAGCCCACAGAAAGACAAAGAATGAACCAGGCCCCTCTCTCACAGGGCTTACATTTCCAGAAACATGAGGGGGCTGGTGGGAGGGGGCAGATGGTCCTAGCACTTTGTTGTCAAGGGCACCTTGACAGAAGCACCTGTAATTGGGATCTGAATATGAAGGATGATTGCAATAGAAACATGGTGGCCAGTCTCCTAACGGGATCTGAAGCCTGCACTGAGACTCACAGGGTGACCTCAGACGAGTCCCTCCCTCCTCTGGGCCTCAAGTTTCCTCATCTGCAAAGTGAAGGGGCTGTGTGTGAGGCCTGTGAGCCCACAATTCTGTCCACTATCACCACTAACTCCCCTCCCTTTGATTCCTCTCTGGAGCCCACTCAGTCATTCATGAGTGCCCATGTGCTAATGACGGGGAGCTCGGGGATGCCCGCTTGGCCCCTGGCTGGCTCTCTGGCTCTCTAGCTCAGAGCTTGAAAGAGTGTGGTTCAATGATTAACAATTCATTCCCACTCCTAGAAAATCAACTCAAATGACACCTTGACTGGCCGCTACCATGACAACTACTACTGGTAAATGAAAACAACTCTCTTTTGGAGCACTTTAAGGTCACGAGCCCTTCGTTTGCTCATAATAAATAACGATAACAAACATTAAGAGCAGCAGCAGCTAGCATCTACATGTGGCTGATGTTTGCAGAGTACTTTATAGACATCTCGCCCGATCCTCAAAAAGGAAGCAACCATTTATTAAGCGCCAACTGTGTGCCAGGCGCTGTGCTAAGCCCTTTATAAATATTACCTCACAACAGGTAGAGGCAGAAAGCTCAAATGATGTGACATATTGCAAACTTTAAAGCTGGGTGGTAAGCGGATAGAGCGCTGGCCCTGCAGTCAGGAGGACTGAGTCCAAATACTGCCTCAGACAAGTACTAGCTGTGTGACCCTGGGCAAGTCACTTAACCCCAATGGCCAAGAAAAAAAAAATACTGTCAGCCCCGCTTCCTCCATGCAGAGGCAAGGGGGGGCAGCATGAACTCAACCTTTTCCCATCTTGCGTGCTTTCCCCAGAGGCCACTAACTACAACCCTCTCATTTTATAGGTGAAGAAACTGAGGCAGAGGGAGGTTCTGAAGTTCGATCTGAACTCAAGTCTTCCTGTGCCACCTAGCTGCTAGAGTCTAAGTTCCACAATTTAATAGCTGGGAGACCTTGAGTTAGGTCCCTTCCCTTCTCTGGGTCTCAGTTTACTCATCTGTAAAATCAAGGGGCTGGGTATCTACAGTCAGGAAGACCTGATTTCAAATTTGGCCTTGGACAGTTAATAGCTGCGTGCCCCTCGAGAGTCACTTGACCTCTATCTCCCTCAGTTTCCTCTGTTGTAAAATGAAGATAATAAATGGCACCTACTTCCCAGGTTGTCATGAAGATCAAATGGTTAATTCTTGTAAAGGGCTTCATGTAAAAGACAACTCTCTACACTGCCATCTGGTTCAGCACATTCCAGGTCATTCTACCTGGCTGGAATGGCGAACAGGTGTTCTGGGTCTCTTTCCAATTCTGCCTGACCTTTTCACTTCTTAAGAGTAAGAGGGCCCCCAATGCCAGCTCATTACAACAGTTCCAACGGCGCTTTGGTCTCCATGTGAGCGGTCAGACCCAGCCTAGGGACAGACAAAAGGGCTCGAGGGTAGGGAAAATACAAAGAGCCAAAAACAATGTGGAGCACATACCTGTGCCAAGCCAAGGTCACCACTCCCCAAAGTCAAAACTGCTTTCAGGTCTCTCAGGATTATGTAAAACGTCAACTGAGCCCAAGGGCAACACTCTTGGGCAGGTCACCCTGGCCAAGCAGAGACCTGGGGAGGTGGATTCCTAGGGTCCCTTCCACATTAACTCCTCCAACTCCTAGAATATACAGTCCTCTCCTTATCACAGGCCATGCCCCCTCCTGGAAGGAGGGGGTATCCTGGACCCCCTCAGGCAGTCTAGAAGAGCCGATGTACTCCCTTCTCAGAATATGCTTTTAAATGCGTAAAATAAAACATACAAGATTACAAAGGAAGCCAGTTATACTGCAATACAGCTATAAGCATTTTTTTTTAAACAATGAACTCTGTTGCTAAAGAGGAAGCTAGAAGGTGTCCCCCACCCTACCTCTTAGAAGGGGACTAAAGACAGGGTCCCAAATCAGGGTGTGGAAAGGTCTGAGTCTGACAGCCTATTCACCCCATGTGAACACACACACCCATTCCCCTCTGGTGGTCTGTACACATTTAAAGATCATTCAATCAACCGACATTTACAAAGTGCCTACTGTGTGCCAGGGCCTGTGCTAAGCACTAGAGCCCAAAGCCACGATAAAGTGAAAGTCCAGGATGGGGATCACCTGGTCCCTTTGCCATAGGGGCCATCCACACATGCTGGGAAGGGGCTCAGAATTCCTGCTCATTTCTCTCCTATAACCACTGCTGGGAGCAAGGCAAGTTGAGCAGCCAAAGGCAGACAGATGCCCCTCATTGACTGCTTTACTTCCCTGCACACAGTAGGGCAGAGGGGATAGAGTATTAACTGGGGAGGTGGAAAGACATGGCTTTCATCACCAAGTTAGGCACCTCCTGGCTGTGTGGCCTTGGACAAGCCGCATAAAACTGGTGAGTCTCTCCTCATCTGTAAAATGGGAATAACAGTACCTACCTCACAGGGCTGTGGTGTGGTTCCGGTGACAAAATGCTTTGCAAACCTAAAGGTCTAGTTATGGTTTTTATGATCACAGCAAGGTTCTCTGTAAAGAGAGATGGGGGCCTGAAAGGTTAAAGGACCTACGGGTCAGGGGCAGACTTGAACCAAGAGGCAGCCTCTCAGTCTATTAAACAGTGAGACTCTCAATAAATAAATACTTGGCATCTGGTGCCAGTGGAAACATGACTTCCTGATATGTGGCAATAGGGAAGGACAGCGCTCCCAGGGCTCTACAGGTCAGGCCAGCCACAGGAGCACTTGCTGCCCAAGCAATCCCATGCAGGAGGAAGTTAGGGAGAAGGCCCCTAAAATAACAACAGCAACACAAAGTCCCAGATGCATAAGCTCGGATCTGAAAGGACCTCAGAGGTCAAGGAGCATGTTTTACAGAAGAGGAAACTGAGGCTGACGGTGGGTTTAGTGACTTGTCCATACAAGTCTGTACCTGAACTCAGGCTGTGCTAGGCTGGAGATGAAGACACAAACACAGACCTATGCCCAAACCTGAACCACTTACCTCCTAGGCAGGAGAGGCCCAATGACACTGATAAACTCATACTAAGATACAAAGTAAACACGGAGAGTATGTTCCCAGCTTGGGGGAACATAGGAGAGAACGTAATTAATTAGGCAAAGCCGCAAAGCCAAGGCTTCTACTAGTGGGAAGGCACTCCAGGTGTGGAGCCTGTCCTGGGCAAAGATGGGGAAGCAGGAGATGACCCAGAGTGCTGGGGGATGAAGAAGGGACACAGCATCCCCGGCAACAAGGCCATACCTAGCAGCCTGAGTCTGAGTACAGAAAAGAGGATGGCGTCTGAAAAAGGAGAAGTGAGTTCCCCGTCACAGGGAAGCTGCCACCTCTCCTCCATAAAGTCATGCCTCGAGGCTCGAGCCTGGGAGGATGGAGGCCAGGGGTCAGGCCACGGGGAGCCGGGAGAAGGGGGGAGAGGGCAGAGCCTTCTCCAAATTCAAAGTGCACGCGCTGTCCAGCCGCCCCGGCCCTCCCAGCCTGCCCGGGCTCCCGCCCTCCGCGGTGGCTGATAGCCGCTGTGGGAGGCAGGTACACAGTGGGCTGAAAACTGCGGCCGAATCTCTCCCGCAGAAGCCTCCATGTGGCGCGGCCCCAACACCGAAGCCCCACCCCAACGGCGCCCCGACCAGCCCCTCGCTCTTCCGCCCGAGGTCCAGATTCTCCCGGAGGCTCCCTCCCCTGGGGCCACCCGAGCGGACGAGGCAAAGGTGCGGAGTCTGGAAACGGCCCGCGCCCGCGCCCACGCCAAACTCGCCCCCGCACCCTGGGCTGCGCAGGGGGGGCGGGGGTGTCAGCGGGCCCACGCACACGCTCGGGCCTCCCGCAGAGGGGCGCGGGAAGGGGTGCCCACCCGCGCCCGTGGGCTGCGGCGTGCCCCGTCTCGACTCCGGTCCACGGGGGCCCAGGCCCGGGCGGTCCCGCGGGGGAGCGGCGCGCGTGGGGCGGCGGGGCCGCAGCGCCTCCCCCTCTCCCGCCCGCGCTCACCAGTTGCCCGAGCCCACGATGCACACTCTCAGGGGCGCCATGGCCGAGGACCGCGGACCGAGGACCGGGAGGCAGCGGCTCCGCCAGCTACGAGCGGCCGCAGCAGCAGCTGCCGCCGGGCCCAGCCCCGAGTCAAGCCGCCGGCCTGCCCCTCCCCAGGGCCGTCCCGAAGCCGCCGCCCCGCCCCCCCGGCCGGCTCGCCCAATGGCCGCCCCGCCCCGCCCCTCCATGGTCCGATGGACGGGCGGACGGAGCCCGGGCCCGCGCGCGCGAGCACCGCCCCCGCGCACCCGCCCCGGAGCACTCTGGGACTTGTAGTTCTCGCCCGCCGGACGCCCGTAGGCGTCGCGGAGCGAGGCCCCCCCCCCCCGAGGGCCTAGGGGCAACGGGAGCGTCCCCTGGAGGCTTGAGGGAGCCCAGGTGCAAAACTGTGAGAGCAGGGGAGGAGCAGGGGAGGGACCCTAGAATCGAAGGGCCTCTCGTGACGTCATCGTCTTCGTCGTCATCATCAACATCAACGTACTGAACAACAATTAATAAAAATGAGCGCCTGCATGCACCTCGAAGTTTGCAAAGCGCTTTAAGCGGCTAAGTTCGTTTTATCCTAACACCAACCTTGGGAGGTGGGTGCTCTTACTCTCTTGCTATCCTCATTTGACAGATGAGGACACCGAGGCAGACAGAGGCGACGCGCTAAAGTCGCAGGCTGCCTTTGAACTCAGGTCTTCCAGACTCCAAGCCTGGTGCAGCATGCACAAGGGCCGCCTGGCTGCCTCGGTGAGCTGTCATTTGACAGATGAGGAAACTGAGGCCGGGTGAGGGAGGGAGACTTCTCCTCTGCGTCTTCTCCCTTTTCTAGCCTCAGCTCCTAGGGAGAGCCGGTCAGCCAGACCACGCGCTGAGCGCCCCCCCACCCCCACCCCCACCCCGTCCTGGAGGGCCACATGGCCCGGGGTTCTGGACTTTTTCAGGTTTCCATCAGAAAAATAATGTTAATTGTGGGATGCGGAGGGATAACTGGGTTAACTATGGTGACTAAGAAACAGAAGATATCAATAAAAACTTACAGAAAACAAGGGACACGTTAATCAAGGCCACAGTCTCCCACCTTTGAAAAGAAGGGAGGTGCATTGTTTCAACTCTTCTCTAAGGCTGAGTGTGTTAATAATTAGCTTAGTCCTTGATAACAGAGGCAGCCAGATAGAGCGCTGGGGTCTTGGAGGAGCTGATTTCACATCCAGCCTGGGATATTAACTATGTCAGTTGCGGGGAGGAGGGGGGTTGTCCTTGATACATTCAGGACCTCCTGCATTCTCTGGGTCCAGTGTTTCTAGAAAATACGGCAACTCAAAAAGACAAGTTCGGGGGGACCCCTTAACACTCCTTAACAGTGGGTGACTCCGAGTCACTTAAACTCGACCCCAGTTTTCTTACCTTTCAAATGTGGATCATAAAAGCACCTGCCTCCCAGGGTTATCGTAAGAATCGAATGAATATTTGTAAAGCACTTTAGGAACCTAAAAGCGCTAAAGAAATGTTAACCATTATTATTAATCACTCAGCACTGTCTTTTTCATTCTTTCTGGTTCCATCGTTGTTCGTTGAAATCTTCCCACGTTCCCCTAACGGCTTACTTAGAGATAGCCCTTAAGCAAATGGATTTCGTTATAGTCCCCCTAAGAGGTAGGTAGTGAGCTCTTGGGTTTTTCACCTCCCTCCCTCCACCAGGGCTGATCCTTAGAGTTGTCTGGGAACTGGAGGTTGTGAAGTGATTTGCTCCCGGTCGCTCTTAGAGGCGCATGGCATTTGGACCCATTCGTCTGACTGGACCCGAGTCCAGCCTCATTTCCCCCAGAACTCTGTGGCTCCTGGTGCCCTGTTAGAAATACTCCTAGGCTGGTTGGTTTTCGATCCATTTCCTGACTCAGCCTCTTCGCTGGCTGTCCTTTGCCCAGAATCGTCCTCTCTGTGCATCTCCTCTCGGGCTCTTCCACCTCCTGGCTTTCCTGGTTTCCTTCAAGTCTCCGCTAACACCTCATCTTTCCCATTCTCCTTAACCATAGTTACCTCACAGCAGAGACATCTCTGAGACATCTCCCATTTATATTGAATATGTCTTGTGGTTTACAACATGGTGGTTTACAGGTGGTCTTCCCCCATGAGACTGAGAGCTGTTTGAGGACAGAGATCGTATCTTTGTCTTTCCTTGTAGGCCCAACACTTAGCACCATGCCTGGCACATAGTAGGTGCTCACTAAATGCTCACTGGCTGTCTGATTTGACTTGTTGAACACCTACTATGTGCAAGTGGCCAGGGTCACCCAGGAGGGATGCCTGGACTCAAGCCTAGGCCCCTGACTTCAAAGTTGGTATTCCTTTGGCTAAACCAAGCTGCCTCACTGCTAGGATTTTAACAGGGGGCATGGTCCATTGACCCCCTTGGGGCTCCCTGAACTTGGGTGGAAAAAATTGACGTCTTTATTTCAATAGAATTGGCTTCCTTTGTAATCCTCTGTATTTGATGCATTTAAACACGGTGCTCTGAGAACGGGTTCCCTGGGCTTCAGCAGGCTATCAGAGGGCTCCAAGATGTGAAAGCCTGAGGTAGAGAGACCCTGTAATCAGACAGTGAAAGTGGCTAAAGTACCATTAGGGAGAGGCTAATGTCTGTGACAGGGTCCAGGCCCTGGGAACCACCCCCCTAACTCTCCTTGAGTTTTTCCTTTCCCTCCACGGTCAAGTCTCTGGCAGTCGCCTTTCATAGTGGGTATGCCCAATCTTCCACCTCTGTTACCTCTGACCCAGTCCAATCTGCTTTGTCTGTTACTTCCCTATCTCCCTATCTCCCCTGGCCACTTCCCACCCTTAATACCATCTAGGTCTCATTCTCCCTTGATCACACGGTCCAGGTCACTGGCATTCAGTCCAGACTATTTGGCCACTCCTAGATCCTTCCCACAGTCTTTCTTGCCTCCCTTAAAGGGCTCAGATTCAATCTGGCCCGCTTGCATTAGTGATACAAATGCTTAGATTCCTTAAGAGTCTGGCCAATATGGCGGATTCTTTAACTCTCACCCACCCCGATTGATGTTCTCATAAACCTTGCATTTGGCTGAAAGAAGGCTTGGGTCAAATTCATTCGAGGCTGGACGTGCGTTGCTATTTCAGGGTCCCAGCACCCCTAAATCTCAACATCTGGACTCAGCAAAGTTGAGATAATCCCTGGCAAGAGTTGATCCCATGATTCATTTACAGCTGGATGGGACTTTGGAGATTATTTAGACCAAAGGGTCTCCAATTTTTGGTCTCTCTACGCTCTTCAAAATGATTGAGGACAAACCCCAAAGAGCTTCGGTTTATGTAGTTCTTTCTATCAGTATTTATCATATTAGGAATTAATACTGATTTATTTAAAAATATTTATTCACTAAAAATAACAATAATAAACACATTACATATTGACATATTTTTATGAAAAACACTATTTTCAAAAGCTCAAAAATTAATGAGAAGAATGACATTGCTTTTTTTTTTTAATTCAATTTTCCTTTTTTGGCATTGAATTTTCTTCCTCCCTCTTCTACCTCCCACCTATTGAGAAGGCAAGGAAAACAAGACCCATTACAAATATGTATCATTATGCATGTTTCACATATTTTTGCAAATCTCTTTAATGTTTCATAGAAGACAGCTGGATTCTCTTATCTGCTTCTTTAGTCAATCTCTTGGGATAGGTTATTTTGGCTGAAGTTCTATACAAAAACAAAATCCTGGCCTCACACAGACATGTAGCTGGAAAACGGAGGAGTTTTTTTTAATGGTCAAATGACATCTTAGTATTATTATGAAAATAGTTTTGGCTTCACAGACCACCTGAAAGGGTCTTTAGCCCCCCCCCCCCCCCCCCGCCTCCTGCAAGGGTCCAAGGCCCACACCTTGAGTACTCAGATCCCGTTCAAGCTCATCTTTTTTACAAATGAGGGAGCTGTCTTAGAGAAATGATCTGTCCAAAGTCACACAAGTACTTCATACCCAGAGCCAGAATACATAAAAAAAAAAGGTAGATAGGAAAGGGGGAGGAGGGAAGGAGAGCGAGAGAGAGAGAGAGAGAGAGAGAGAGAGAGAGAGAGAGAGAGAGAGAACGTTTTTAAAGGCTTACTATGTGCCAGACACGGTGCTAAGTGTTGGGGAAACAAACAAATATATTACTAGTTTCTAAAGAGGGAAGCTAGCACAAAAGAGAAGTTAGAAAGCTGGGCTTAGAGGGAACAGAAGGAGGAAAAGGAGGAACAGGAGGAGAAGCCTGCAAGTAAGCCCAGGCACCGGTGAAATAAAACATGGCAGGTGCTTCCTGAAATGGGGGTCTCAGGGAGGAAGTTACCCATTAGGAGAATAGGCCCAAGGGGCAGAAGGGCCTGCAGTGGGGAAAGTCTGGAGAAATCCAGAGCTGAGTAGGTGTAAGTAAGGGACACGTCTCTGTAGTGTACGTAATACACTGTCCTTCCCCACTCCCCCACGTCCCCATCTTTGGCAAGACTTCAGAATGGCATGACAGCCTTGTTCAAAGATCAACACCACTGTAAACAATTTGCCACATTGGCTAATCCCCAAAATCTTGGGGAGATGGTTTATTTACTCCTTTTCAAAGGTTTATAGTATCTTTTATTTTTACACTTCAGACATTTCAAAATATGCATCCTTCCCCATTAATCATCCCTCCTCATAACATAAAGTAACGTCACATAACATATTAGATCCCAAATTCAGAGTTCCTGAGGCCTTAGCTCGTCCCACCAGGTTTCAAACGGTGCTGGATTATTTCTCCTCTTCTGCCCAGCCACGGCAGGAATAGCCAGTGAGGCTGAACAAACTGAATTGGACATTTCCCACAATGGGAATGAAGGCATGGCCATTGTATTTGTTGTCTGGAAACGTGTAGGGGAGTCACTGAGAAGCTGGACAGGTAGTTAAATACTTTATTATGTAGTTTATTGCTTGTATGAATTCTACGCTCAAAGAAAATCAATTAATAAACATTTGTTGAACACCTACTATGTGCCAAGTGCTGGAGTACAAATTAAAAAAAAGAGATAGTCCCTGCCC